GGGCCTTGTACCCCCTGTCCCCGGGCCGCCCGTGCCGCCTTGGGCCTGGGGGGAGCCCTGAGGCCGGGGGGGGAGCGCTGAGGCGAACCCTGAGGGCGAAGGGGGATGCGCTGAGGTGAAGAGAGGAGCCCTGAGGCCGGGGGGGAGCATGGCCCCTCGGCGCTGACCTCTTTCTCGCCCCATTGGTAAGGTGCTGAGGCACGAGGAGTTCGAGGAGGGCTGCAAAGCCAGCTGCAACGGGTGAGTGCCCCCTCCCCGCTCCTTCCTTTCCCGTAAAACAGCCGCCAGTCACTCTTATAGGTGAAAGAGGGTGTAGCTTGGGGTTTTTTTGAAGTAGTTCCCTTGGAACCAACAGATCCCCTTTGTGTGCGGCTGTGAGGTTGCACTCAAACACGAGCGTCGCCGTGTTACGCCTACAGACTGGCATAAAGTTATTTCCAACTCTTCCTGGGATTACGTCCAATTACACTGTTTTTTTACAGACACTGGGCTATCTGGGGTGTTGAGTTACAAACCTCCCTGGTACCCCAAAGGCTTTTGTCTTCATGAGTAAAAGAAGTCTCACAATCCGGTGCCTCCTGCCTCTCAGTAAGGCGGTGCCTGTGTAATTCCAGCTAACGAGCTGGTGCTCCTAGGGCGTGAGCTGTTAAGGAGGAGGTGGAATTGCTTTTGTTGCATGGTCATCAATGACAGCCCAAGGTCAAAACTCTTGACCAGAGGGATCCCCGGCTGCTGCGTGCCCTGAACCGCAGTGGGAATTCTTCACAGGAATCGGCTCCTGCGTGGCGGGAGGTTACTGGTTTGCTTGTGCCGTTTGCTTACTCTAGAAATACGCTGCTTCTTAAAAACACTAATGCTTGATGTTTGTTTGTAATACTCGTGACAATTAAATGTGGACGTTCCAGCCCTTACGATGGAAGATGGAGTAAAACGATGGTGGGATATGGGCCAGAAGACAATCACTTTGTTGCAGAATTGACTTACAATTACGGTATCGGAGAGTATCGCCTGGGCAATGACTTCCTGGTAAGCACCCCCCACACGTGGCAGCAAAATCTGTCTTCCTAAGATAAGCTTTCTTCTTTTTGTGGTTAGGAGTCTGTCCAGCATGTAGGTTGTACCAGGTGCTTTTCTATGCTGTTTGGTCCCTTAAACATTTTATATTCTTGCTGTTGTAGTTGTAGTCTCCAGGATGGAAGAGCAGAAGCTTAAGCAGCTTTGTGCTCACTTAGGATCCAGGAAGCATTTCCTTAGGCACCTTCCAACACAGTTGCTGCGTGTGTAGGACAGCTGGTATTTGCTGGCAGATCTAATGTGGAATGATGAGCAAAGAAGGATTTTGCTGTAGGAAAAACTCTGTTGTTATTGCTTATTTCTTTGTTATTTGCTACTTGACAGCCAATGAAGATCATATAATCATAGGATCGTTTGGGTTGCAAGGGACCTTAAAGCTGATCTAGTTCCAACCCCCTGCCATGGGCAGGGACACCATCCATAGACCAGGTTGCTCCAAGCCTCATCCAGCCTGGCCTTGGACACTCCCAGGGATGGGGCATCCACAGCTTCTCTGGGCAACCTGTCCCAGGGCCTCCCTACCCTCTCCGTGGAGAATTTTTTCCTCGTATCACAGTAGAAGGTTCCATGTTTCACTTCTCTCTGTTGGTTGTTTTTTCCCCCCCCCCCCATGTCTTTGGCAAACATCAATGTGAACAAAATCAGACTGAAAATAAGGTGTGTGTCCGTTCTGTTCTCACCAGGGCATAACACTTGTGTCTGGCCAGGCCGTGAGCAATGCTAAGAAGATGGGGTGGCCCCTCAAAGAAGTCACAGCTGGTATTTTTGAAGCTGAAGCCCCAGGGGGTTACAAGTTCTATTTGGAAGACAAGGAACAGCTCAAACAAGGTGAAGCCTGCACACTCACAGGTGTTCAGGAGAGGTTACAAGTGGGATGTTAGAATGGGCTGCATGTTTATCACGTGGCGTTTTAGGAAACCAGAGCATGTGTTTTTAACTTCTTTGTTACTTCTCGAGAATGTAAAACCATGTGTTTAAAATGTATTTGTAACTGATTTCACGTTACTGCCATCTTGTAGATCCTGTGCTAAAGGTAACCTTGGGTGTCTCGGATCTGCAGAAGTCTGTTAACTACTGGTCTGATCTGCTCGGGATGAAAATATATGAGAAGGATGAGGCCAAACAAAGGGCTCTGCTGGGCTATGCGGATAACCAGGTCAGTCCTTGGGAACCTTTCCAGTTCTGAGCATTAAGAGTTGGGTCTCATCGTGGAAACCTCTCATTCTTGTGAGAATAAAATCTAAAAGGGAAGTAAAAGCTCTTAATTAAAACAACTGTGCACTTAAATCAGTGCATTTAAATTAAAGCTTAATTCTGTGTGCACTTAACTGCATTTTTATTTACAAAAAGGCGGTGGTTTGCTCTGGTACTTCTGGCTTGTTGGGCAGTTTTGAAATCATCGCCTTGGTGCAAAGCTGGAGTGAACGTAGCACTGAGAACTGCGTCCTCGTGAGCCAGGCTTTCCCTTTTTCCTCACACAGTGTAAGTTGGAGCTGAAGGCTGTTGGAGGAGCAGTGGATCACGGGACAGCGTTTGGGCGGATTGCCTTCTCCTGTGCGAAGGAAGAGGTGACAGTCGCGTTTCCTTTACCCCTTTCCTTACCTGGGACTCATGAGTGGGTGCTTAACTGCTAATCTTAGCAAAATGTCTCGGGTGTGAGCAAGGTAACGTTGAGCAGACACTTGTTTGTATTCCTCTGAGTGGGAATGCAGTGGAGCTGGGGCGAGAGGGAACTGAATGAGAACAACCTGGGTGCATCTGGTCTTTGTCTGACTAGGGTTGATTTCTGGTTGTTTTCTGTTTAAGTTGCCAAACATTGAAGCACTGATGAAAAAGGAGAATCAGAAAATTTTGACACCTCTGGTCAGCTTGGACACACCTGGCAAAGCCACGGTGCAAGTGATTATTTTGGCTGATCCTGTGAGTAATGTTGGAAACGTTGATTAAATTACATTTACATGTCTCTCTCCCAGCTGTCTAACTCGCCTGCTCTTAAATTCGGTTTAGGATGGCCACGAAATCTGTTTTGTGGGAGATGAGGCGTTCCGAGACCTGTCCCAGGTGGATCCTAATGGTGACAAGTTGTTAGACGATGTGAGTACAGCTGTCTGCACTTTCGTTTTCTTCCTGATTAGAGACACCCGTGAAATCCCCTTTTCATTCCACCTGGAGTATTTCTGGAGAAGCAACTGTCTCTCCGCCCAGGTGGTTTTCTTGCTAAGAAAGACAAATAGTTCTTAAAAATGCACTTCCTGCCCTGGCTAGAGTTTTCCAGCCTTGCTTTCGGGGCGGCTGGGTGGTGGTGTGTCGCGCGGGCCGCGATGACAACGCTTGGGTGTAAGTTACTGCGGGAAAGGGCTTGTGAGCCGCAGTACCGTTGCGGAGGGGCTCTGGTGCGCAGTGTGAGCTGGGTGGGGAGCGGTCTTGAACCTAGTGCCACGTCATCTATTCATACGCTGCCGCACGCAACACTGGTTTTCGGTGTCTGCTTTTGTTACTCGTACATCAAAAATTGTGTATCCATCGGAATAGCTTTCCTGCGGATTCGAAGGCGCCCTGGCGATCAGTCTGGGTTTGTGGGAGAGGCTGGTGAGTGCGAGCAGCCGGCCGTCTGACGGCTCGGCCGCTGCTCTGAACACGTTTGTGCTTTGCCTCGCGCAGGCCATGGCGGCGGACAACAGCGACAAATGGTTTGCTGCGCAGAAAATGAAGAAAGCATCTGCTTAGCCAGAGAGAAGGACTGGAGTGCTCGTTCCTGCCTTGGATTTCACCTGAGTGAAAGGCCCATCCTGTGTCACGAGTTGCGTTACCCTTTCCGTCATGTCCCGTGCTGGTTGGTTTGTTTGATTTCGGCGTTTGTGTCTCTCGGTGCTACACTCTCCTTACAGCGAATCGCTTGTTATCCTGCAAAATAATCAGGCTGCCCAGTCAGCAGCAGTTGAGCTCATGGCTTCAAAACCAGGAGTAGCCAGCGGTCAGGAGGAAAACTTCTCATTTCTGTGGTGTTATGCTTGGAGAAGAGGTTGCTGGATTCATTACAGTGTCTAATTGTTCAACTAATCGGCTGTAGGCATCCTGGATTTGCAGTTTAGGAAAGAGATTGTCAGGAAGCTGCGTCTGGGAGCATTGCAGGTACCCCGCCGCGGTGGCGAAGCGTCAGGCAGAGGGGAAGGGCTGCCTTTGGCGAACTCGAGCAGTTCAGCTGTGGCGGTGCCTATTTATTGGGAACAGAGAAATCGCCTCAAAGCACGTGAATATTCCAGTCCGGAACAAACCCTGCTTTCATTCCAAGATGTTTCCCCAGCTTTCACGGTGAAATCTTCACTGGAGAAGCCCATGCTGCTTTTCTCGCTGGAGTCACGTTGATGTGGTGGTTTCCACCCCTTACCAAGGAGCCTTCCGCATTCCGGGCAGGAGCAGGGCCGTGCTGCAGGGCGCGTAGCAGCTCCGTGCTGTCTGCCAGGGTGCCGGGAGGCAACCTAAAATGAGCGTGTCGTAGTTTTGCAATTAGCTTTTGATGAGACACTGCCTTGGGAAGTAACAGTTCAGAGTTTATTCCGTTGGAATGAAGTCGCTCTGCGTTTGGGGGCGGAGTGAGGGCTGGGAATACAGGGAGTTGTTCCCAGTGTTGTCCCTCTCGGGCACACTGGCTGGTTTGTAGGCTTCCCAGGTGAAAACCTCAAGTTTCACAAAGGAAAACAGGCAAAATCGGTAGCGTTAGCAGTCGCTGAGGCACGTCGGCGCTTGGGGTGAATCTGCTGAGTTTAAACAGGAGGAATTCCTCACTGATTTTGTTGCTGGAGCTTTTGGGGTTGGGGCTAACTCCGAACCGCGTACCTGGCAAGCGGAAGATGTCACGCGCAAGATGCACCCCTGCAAGCAGGGTCGCCCTTAAAGGAATAAAAGTGATTCGCGAGGTCGGTGTGAGTGCCTTCCTTCCGGCACCGGAGCTCCTCTCCCGTTGATTGCGCTCTCCCTCATCCCGCGCCCGGATTAGCACCGGGAAAGGCCCGGGGAGAGCGGGGCGGCGGTGCCGCTCCTCCGGGCCGCCAGGGGGC